AAGAAGTCAGAGAAGTCTGGTTTCAGCAGTCCCTCGCCTTCGCAGACCTCCTCCCTTGGAACGGCTTTCACACAGCACCATCGACCTGTCATTACAGGACCCAGAGGTGAGGCCTAACCCAAGAGCCCCCAGGCAGCTTAAACGGTAGCCATGGCACCCAGTGTCCATCCCAGAGCCTTTCCATGGAAAGCCATCGCCACGTGTGACCCACCCAGTGAGAGGCTGTGCTTCAGAAGCTTCATAACCCAGAGGTTTAGCGGTCAAGAGTTGTGCTTGGTTTTGCTAGGCGGGGCAAAACTCCTGGTGCCCCTTCGACAGTGCCTAAGGTGGAAACGCTGGATTCTGGGGGCTTGGGGTTTTGTCTGAAGAGGGTGGGGAAAGGGGCAGAATGTGCCACAGAGAGTGTCTTCTACTTATGTCTATACGTAACATAGTCTGACTGCTGGAGACAGGGACCCATCACTTGCCTCCAAGCCATGCCTGTCTTCCAGCACTAGGGCTTTGCTTCTGCCAGTCATCTAGTGCTCGTGTTGTTGGCATCAGTGTGCTGAAGTGTTGCCTGTGAGGGGACTCCTTTGAAGTTGGTTCCTGCAATGCTTTGGCTAGTTTTCTTCACAGTACTCTTCTGACCGACTTCCCAAGCAAAAAGAGATGTCCTCTGGGTCTAGAGGCACTTATACATTTTTGTTAGAAAGATGCATTTGCATTTAGCCTAGAAAACTAAATGCAACACTCAGTTCACATTTGAAAAGGAACCCACTTGGGCATAGTAATATAACACAACTGAATGAACCTTCTTACAAACCTCTTCGGAAGATATAAAAATAAGAATGAATGGTTGTGACATGTTTCTTTCTGCTGTGAAATTTTGTCTCATTTAGAGAAGATTATTAAGGAATTGGTCGAATGGTGAAGCATAAAAAGGCATATTAGCAATTCATACTGGAAACTATTTTTAAATGTCTGTTTGGCATTAGTGTGGTTTTACTGAGGGCAGCATAAAGCAGGTGGAGCCTCTTTGTCTGCACAGTCTGGGTGATGCAGTGTGAAGAAGTGGAACTGCACTAAGTTGAAGCGAGGTCAGAGTTGCACTTCATGGGGTTTTGTGCTTTGTTAAATCTGCTTACAGTAGTTTGATTTGTTGTGGTTAATCCCATAAAAAATATTTATCACCCTTAGACACACACCTAGATCCTTAGAAGACATTTAGGCATCTAAGCTCCATACAGATTTCCCTTGAAATTTGGATCTGAGCTGTGTGGCAAATATATCTTCATTTAAAAGCTTTGATGATCGGTGATACAATTGTGAATCATGTGAATGTTCCATTAACATTATATTCAGTGCACATCAGCTGACTCTGAATTTCTATCTTTCAGGACTTAAGCCTTTTAGATTTGAGTTGTTGATTGATTAGTTAATAGACCTTTCTGTATTTAGCTATGTTTTACCTCACATTTATTTTTCAAGATCATTGTTTTACCTCACACATATTTTTTAAGATCATTGTTTTACCTCACACTTATTTTTTTAAGATCTGCCCCTACTCAGACCCTCTCTATTTTGGATTTTTGTGTGGTTGAGAGAGGAAATGTGTCATTGGTTAGGTCTTGTTTAAATTTCATATACAGTCAATTTTATCCAGACACTTTGTGTGCACTGTGGGATAGCCATCGGCTATGTGAGAAGAACATTCAAAGACAGCCAGAATTTGCAAAAGCAAACTGAATGAAGAGTTCCCAAATCTTGTTTGGAAGGAGATGTCTTTACAAACTCCATGAAGAAGTAACACAGCTTCTAATCTTCGTGGTTCCTAACGGGTTAAGCAAAAAGTGTTCTTGTGCAACATCATTTAGAAGGCATCTTCTATTTTATGCTTGTTCACAAACAAAGCCATGCAGACTTTCAGGAAAAATCCTTCTGAATCCGTCCATGGATTCTTTAAGTGTCATCATCCTGGAAAAATCTTGTTCCAGACTTCATTCTTTGTTCTTTTTGGACATTCCTCTTCAGTATTCTTCTTCCACAGCACACTGTCTGTGTTTATTTCTCTCCTACAACAATCCCTCTGATAGCAAAGGATAATATTCTGAGATGGATTATTTTCTGCAAATCCAGCTTTGTTCTTTATCCCATTCCCTCCAGTGTACTTTAGGACAGTAAGCAGAAGGTAGAAGCTTTTCAGGTATCAAAAGTGGCAACATAAAGCATATAAGGCAATCATATAAGAGGATAGAATCTTTGAGCAACTCATATCCACCATCAGTTACTGTACCTGTCTATAGAAATGACAGGTATGAGGTCGTGCACACACGTTGCATTGTCTCTGGGTACATATGCATCATGTACCTGATCAGTGGCAGGTCATTTTGAGTGGTCTTCAGAAACGTAAGAGCAGAACTTACTCTTCAGTCTGCAAAGATATTTCCAAAAAAGTCATGAGTAAGTAGGTCACCATCAGAGTAAGCTCCTCAGCCAACTTGCACAATTACTGGAGGGTTCAATCTCCTTCTGATGTTCGTATGTGCGAGTTTATCACTTGGATCTGTGTATGAGATGCATTTGTAAAGCGTGATCAAAATAGACAGCAGAGAAGAAGCTGTAGACTATTCATGGCAGGTGTTGTCATTGACAACCAGTGATTTGTAACTTCTCAGGAATATTCCCAAATCTTTCACACGCTTCCAAACATTCCCTAGAACACAGTGCAAGTCTTATGCTGGAGTATCCCAGGATACTGAGTGTCCTTCCCAGTGATCCCCACAATGAGGCATTTTGGATGCAAAACTTCCTTGGAGGAGGAGTAGATCCTTAAGAGGATTTCTTAGCTCTAAAGGGCTCCATTCAATGGACTGGTTGGAACACCTCTTCCCTCGTGAACTTGCCTGCACCATAGCGTGTTGTGGAAGGCTGTGCACTAGTTTTCTGCCTGCACTGGTGCTGCTGCCAGTACTCAGCCCAGCTGGGCAGTAGCCAGCAGAGAGGATCTGAGCTGGCTGACCAAAGGACCAGATGTGCAGTGAGTGCTGGCGCATGGATGCCAATGCTTCAGTGACTCCTCAGTAGTTCCAACAGATGGTGGCAAGATCCAAGTTTCTTTGGTGATAAGCTAGCAAAGTGATTCATGGAGCCTCACTTGATGATGGCAGTTTTTTGGGCATGACTCTACGAAGGCACCATATGTCTTCTCTGGACCAGCGTGGTTAGGATTCAATGTCTGGCAGATGGTAAATTGATCACCTATAGGGTGGCTTTAGCATCACTATCAGTTTTAGAATTTATTTCAAAGCATTGCAAACTCAAGCAGCTACATCTCTAGCTCCTACGCAGCATACTTTCGTTACCTGCAAGTTAGATTATTTGGTGGTCAGTGTAGCTCACCACAGGATTCCAGTATTGCTGGCATCTTACAAAGTTTCCCAGACATTAGCCCACTTGAACTCTTTACCAGACAGTGAAGGATCTAAATACTGTGGGTGACAGCAGTATTTACATAAGTGGTTTTAGGCTTCCATGTATTGCTACTTACACTCTAGTGACTTTATATCTGAAGCTGGCTGAAACATTAAATTGACCATGATCTTGTAAACCTTGGATGTACAGCAGCCTGTGCTGTAGAGCATTCAAGCATTTCCACAGAATATGACAGCTTAGATCCTGCAAGCCAAAAAAGCAAGGAAGAAAAGGCAAGGAAAGGAAAAAAGTAAGAATGAGATGGTATGTTAGGAAGATAAATGAAGGAGAAACACAATTACAAGAAACAAGAAATACAGCACAAAGAAAAGAACCCAAGGAAATGGGCGTGTGAGCAGAAAGAGAAGAAGGGATGAAAGTCAACTAGTGGAGTGGTTCCCATTATATTAATTTCCTCCATAATAAGCATTGACATTGAGATATTTATCAGGACAAGGCCTACGAGGGAAACTCTGCAGGATAGTGCTCTCTGTTCATGCCAGTGGCAGAAGCTTTATGTCACTTATCTGGGAAGATACGGTGCCCTTCTCTATAGAAATTCTCCACAGGGTCACCAGAATACCAGTGCATGTTAGCTGTCCTGGCAGGCAGCTTCGAGTGCAGCAAAGTGCTGCTCCTGCTAACTCACTCCAGAGCTGCACAGTGGCACAGGACATTCAGAAATGTCCTCTTCCCCACAACGGCCCGCGGCTGCTCCTCGGTGCTGGCAGCTGGCAGACTGATGGAATCACCTACTTCCCTTCGAATTTTGACTAAAACAAAGCGGTGCAGCTTCATCCCAACACAGACACCTCAGGTCAGGGGGTGGTCACGTAAGGCAGTGGGCAAAGGAGAGAGCCACACCACAAGGCTAAGAAGGTTGAGGAGGAAGTGTGACTAGCGTAGCGCTGGGCAGCGGATTACAGTGTCAGGGTAGCTGACTGAGTAGGGCAAGATTTTGATTTTCTCCACTCACTTTGAAATAATTTGATGCTGAAAGAAAAAGTGTTTCCCTAACAGATGGCCTCAAGGTCAAGGTTTAGCAATTACAAGATCCTCTAGCCAAGCTGCCCTCTACTCCCATATCCCAGGCAGGGGAGGGAGGGCAGAGAGGGAGGCTTGCAAACGGTTAAAACTTCAGCTAAACAAAAGTCAAGAACCGTGTAATTAAAACTCTACCTTTGTTGTATTGTAAAGAGTTAGCCTGTGACATAGGAAATATTTAAAGGAGCAGGCTGTTCAGCTAATTTGTGTGCGAGTGAACTGCTTAGACAGTCCTATCCTAAATTAACTGTAAGACCACCCACTGAGATTGCCTCATAAAGGGCCATGATTGCTCAGCTTCGTTTTGTATAACCGTTCAATAATTACTAGATAAATGCATAACTAAAAGCTCTATTACACTAATAATTTGTACTGAGATAGATGTGTGGGACACCATGCTGGGTTAATTTGTCATCCCTGCAGCAAACTTCTAAAGAGGGCTCTTTTGCAGAGGAGTTGTGTTAATATGTTGCTCCAGCGAGGACATGTTAGAGCAACAAGATGACTTGGTCGCTTAATCTCCTAAAGAGGCAAAATGCCTGGAGGGTAAGTGCCAGAAAGAAGAATGGGGGGTGATTAACACAGTGGACCCAGATTTAAACTCATCCT